GGTTGCAAGTTGCGCGATGCTCGGAGAAAAAAGGACGAAAGACGGATGGAGAAGGACGTTGAGAGAAAGTCGTCGTCAGTTCCAAGAGCGACGGCGGCGACGGCGACAGCGCTGGTACAGGATTTCCCTGGAGATGTACGGCGCAGTTCAGTGTTCTCTGTACACAGCAAGGCACGGCAAGGTACATGGTCATGGGCAGCAAATTGTTAGAGGATCGTGTCTGCATTCGGTGTCGCATTCTAACGGGTGGCGGGGGCCATTCCCGTACTGCGGAGACGCCGCGCCCAGTCGTCGCCCGTCGTCCGCTGCGGTGCCCAGTTCCTGCAAAGTACCTACCATAGTACAGGCCAAAGATGACGCTGACTGACGGGTCCCAGCTCCAGCTTTCCAGGCCCGCGCAGCACGCGGTAGGCTCCCCTTGGCCCTCGCGACCTGGGGCAGACCTGGGCCAGGTACATGGCCATGCACGTAATGCCACCGCGGACGGGAAGTACCCTGAGGACAAGAGACAAGAACGGACTCTGACAACTCACCTCACCTTTGCATTGGAGCTGCTGCACAGCACATTGGACCATCCACCGAGGAGAGAGCCCGACCCCCGACCCCGACTCACCTCGACCCGTTGACCTGCAGCAATGCCATGGCCTCCGGAATCTGCGCATCCTTCTGGGTCGATGGGTCGCTGGGTCGCTGGAAGCACCGGAGACGGACGGGGCCATGTTGCCATGCTACTGTGCTGCGTACCCGCACCGCCAGAAAAAGTGACGGAATCAGCCAACAGTGTGTCACTCCCGGTGCCGAGTGTCAACACCCCGGGCAGCGTCGTTTTTTTGCCATTCCTGTCGTCGCGTGCCCATCGATCCTCGACCCTCTTACAAGTTACCCCTCCGCCACCACTCCTCTTGTCGCAGGGTGCCGTCTGTCTCTCTGTCTTCATTGTTCGACTCCAACCATCGTCCACAAGCCATGCCGCCTCCGTCGATCCGAAGCCTTCGACAGCCCCTTTTTCAGCCATGGCATCGCCGCTAGCAATCAGCGAACAAGACAAGCCCTCCCAGGCACCCACGCGGCGAACGCATAACCATCGCCCGGACGGTCAAGCCTTAGCCCAGGTTGCCTAGGTAGGTACCTTACTTGGGAAGTGGTAGGGCCAAGGGCAAAAGGGACGACCGAGTTGCTGTGTGCTTGTCAGGAGTGGCTGGCAGCCCCGGCGCAGCCCACTAGTTTCATCGGACAGAGGGCGAGGCACTTTTCGCATTGGGTTTCATGCTCTGGCCGTCTTTGTTCCCAAAGAGTTCCCTCGTCGTCTTGAAGCCGCCCGTGCTCAGCCGCATCCCCCCCCCTTTTTTTTCTTTTCCAGTGTCTTGAACGTTGGTTGTCCCATCTGTCCAATAATGCCCCGTCGCCTTTGTTTTCGTGAGAGACACGCCGCGTGCCTGGCCGGCCGGTCTCATCGTCCAGTCAGAGCCGCCCCCTATTGCCATTGTCATGCCTTCCATGCCTTTCCTTTCAGGAACGTTATGCAACGGCTGCAGCAACTAAAGGCATTCTGCATTCCTCGCCCGCATCCCCGTCCGGCCCGGAATCGTCCAAGCTGCTGCTCTTTCGGTCCACGGCACCCCCATTCCAACGTCCGTGGTCGTTGTCGGGTCCGGCCAACGTCGAAGCCATCGTCTAGGATGCAAATGGTCAAGATGCGGCGCCGTCGCCAAAATAGGTCCCCCGTCAGTGCTTCATCGCCATGGATCCCGCCCGGGCTTTTCCCTCCTGTCAAGTTGTCAAACCGCCCCCTCCCCCCTCGACGGCGCCCGCGAACGGCGACGGCGCACTGTCGCTAATCGGAAAGGCGAGCGGGCGGGCGGGCGGGCGCCCACTCTGTGATGCTACACTCTTTTTCGTTGCGTTGCGCGTGAAGAACCCCGCCCATAAGGCACCCCTGCAGTTTCCCACTTTACGGGAGATCGCCGGCCGGCATCTGGAGGGTCTCCACATCGGAGCCGGTCCCCGCTCCGGATCACGACGCCGGTCTCTTTTTGTGCACGGTGAATTTGCAACTCCACCCGACGGCGACGACTGCGTGACACTTTTTTTTTTTTTTTTTTTTTTTCCACACAGGCTTTTCCACACAGGGTTTTGGAGATACAGCAGCAAGGTGTGTATATGTACGGCATGCGAATTGTTGTGGCGGCCAGAAAAAAAAAAACATCTGACAGATGAGCGAAGCTGGGCTTCACTCCAGACCCGTAATTCACGCATCAGATAACAAACTATAAATTCCTCTAACATGGGCATGCCCACAAATCATACCGCCCATTACATCGTGACGCCGCTCAAGTCCAGAAGGGTTGCTTGTGTTGCCCGCTTGTAGAGTTGCTCACTCGGGTTGCTCACTCAGGTTGAATCACCCCCACGAGCATACCAGATCTGTGTTTTCGGTGACTGGGCGCCATCCATCTTGTGGAGACCGGTAGATAGAAATCATTGAGTGCCGTTGTATATCTGAACTCAAATTGTCGTGACGTACTCCAGTCAGATGCATTATTCACTAGAACGAGACCTTCATTCTCTCTCCCCCATACTAACCAAGCAAGCCATCTCCAGTGCCTGCAGGTCTCCTACAAATTGGGTGTCCTCTCCCGCAGACTGCCAGAAATCCATCCGTTCTACATACACAAACAATGCCTCGCTCATAGTCATTGTTTCCGGCAAGTATATATCCAGCTCGCTGCGTCCTGGCAGAATCTTTCTCCCTTTACCCAACTCGACAGGCTTGAAGGTAACAGTCCAGTTGACCAGCCAGTCATAACTGACCAAGTCTGCTTCGTTTCGGCTTTTGCTTTTTTCCTTCTTTGCGAGTTTTTCACATTAAAGGTAAGCTTTCTATTTCATTCTTCTTCCACTCGGCCTCTGCCAAGTCCGCTGCCTCTTGAGAGTGTCTTCTTTCCAGAGTCACCAGTCTCAAAGGCAAGCTTCCTATTTCCTTATTTATTTCTACCAACTACTGTCACTTGTATAACCAGCCCGCTAGGAAACGTCTTCTTCCTCTCCTTTTCACACGCGTTCTTGTCTGACACGTACATACAGTCCGTAGAAGACAGCCAGGATGAACACACAGCAGGGCACATGGACACAGCAGCCGGGCTCTTGGCCACAGCCGGGCCCTTGGGCACAACAGAGCATCTGGCCACAGCAGGTCCCCTATCCACAGCCTGGCTCTTGGACACAGCAGAGCTGGTCACCGCTGGGTTGGACAGCGCCGAGCTGCTTTTGGCAACAGGTGCCTGTAAAGTGCCTCGCCCACGGTCAATTAATGTGTCTTCCCTGCCAACAGTGGGTTCTTCGTCCCAGCCGGCCACCTCCCGTCCCGCAAATCATCACGGAGGGTCTCCTCCACGAAGTAAACCAGAGGCCAACATGTCGGCACTACGTCGACTACTGCTGCGAGAGGCCGGATAACTGTGATTTCCCCCACAGACACAATGAGCGCTCGCCAGCACCTTCTAAGAAAGACACCTGCAGACACTGGTATAACAACGATGACGATATGAGCAGGTGTGGGTACGGTGTGGAAGAGTGTGATTTCCACCACCCTTACAGAAAGCCAAATGAACGTCGTCTCCCCCTGGGCTCCTTTACGTGGAGGGGAACAACATACACCCCGACGATGGTGCCGCTAGGCTTCTACCCCCAGGTCATCTCTCCTCAGGTTGTTTCTTCTCAGGCCAGCTATACCCAGGCCAGCTCTCCTCAGGCCAGCTATACCCAGGCCAGCTCTCCTCAGGTCACCTCTACCCAGGCCACCTCTCCCCAGCCCGCGGCCTCCATCACCGTCTCTCAACCCGAGCGCTGGAGCCAACAATGCCCGCTCCTGGACAAATGCCCGGGTTTCGGAAAGAGCTGTCCCCATAGGCACAGTGTCATTGCCCACGGCACCCGGCAGCCAAAGGCCGCCGAAGACCGCCCAGTTGGCGAGAGCAGCCAGGCAGCCCAGGATGACGCCAGCGACAGTGAAGCTGGTCAATCCGCTAAAGAAGACCAAGACGACAGCGATGACGACAGCCAATACGAAAGGCCACCAAGTCGTGGTTGCTGGTCAGACGTCAGTGAAGAGGAAAGACCAAGTCTTCGGCGTACACAGTCAATGGAGTAGTTGCTCCCGCCGGCGGAAAAGATGACGGGGTAGCTACCAGGGAAGAAAGAGGGCTACTGGGACGGGACACACGGTACGATATGGATTTCTTCAAGCCCAGATTTAAGACACAGGAGCAGGCGGTCGTTTCGAGGGGCATCTGCAGTTACTAGACTGCAGCACCGGTTTTCTTTGGGCACTGTTTTGGGCTATTAGTTTAGGATACCCGGCAGCCATACTGGCCATGCCTCCTTTTACTTGTATTTGTCGATTTACGCGGCGTTCGAGGGCACATCATAGGGATAGCACCATCACGGCATTACTTGGCCGGAAATAAAATGAATTCAACTTCCCTTCTGTGTAAGCCCCGTGCCATGAACCAGGCACAATCATCGAGATGCCATGAAACAAGTGGCGTGAACCAACACCGTCGAGCAAGTGCCACCAGGCACCGCACAACCTCCTCCAGCCCTACAGAACGCCACCTCCGCAGCAGACTTTTCGCATCGGATACGAGAAATCGCGCAGACGGAAAGGTGCAACTCCTGCGTGGGGGCAGGCCGCAGAGGTGCAGAGTGGCTTACACTCAAGGTCTGCCTGGCAGCGCCCATAGGGCCTGGATGAGCAGACGGCTGTTCACGGATCGGGCAGGGAAGTGCTACGGGAAATCCAGGAGGTCTTTAAATGAATAATACATCACTAAGAAGCAGATGCCTAACAAAGAAGACTTGTTGATGATCTAAAAAGATGCATGTGTTGATTCCCGATGCCAACGCTCTACACCCGACTCCGTGCGAAAGGAATGCTCGCGGCATCCACTGGGTAATCTGTATTTTACAACGGTACTCGCTTCATCCTCGCAGCCTCATCCTCACAGCGCCACCAACGGCTGCTGTTGCTGCTGTTCCTCTTGTCGCTGCTCACCATGATTTTGTTGTGCCTCGCTGGTTCCGTTCTCTGTTTCATTCCGTGTCTCAGCCGTCTCCTCATTTTGGGCTTCCGTGTTCTCGGCGTTTGCTGCTGCCTCCGCGGCGGCCGCTGCGGCTGCCTCTGCCTCCTCCCTCCGCTGACGCTCGGCGCGAGCCTCAGCTTCAAGGTGGGCAATGTGGCGTTCCGCAACGCCTGGAGCGATACTGGCAAGGAAGAGCAGGCCCGCTCTCTCGAGCCGACGCACCTGATCCATGACCCAGTTGCCGTTGTCGTGTCTGCGCTGGTCCACCAGTCTGGCGGCTGCGCGTGCTGGGTCGGGGCGGCCGTCTGCGCCAATGATGGCGTCTCTGGCTCGCACTGGCTCGTTGGGCTGATTCGGCGCAGCCAGGGGGATCAGATTCTCCATGTGACGTCTGACCGGGCCCACGGCCTGGTCGAAGAAGCCGTTGAGCAGCCCGGTGTTCAGGACAAAGATGCTAAAGGCGATGAAGACGACCGTGAACCATCTCGACCAGCTGGCGTTGGGCGACGTAAACCACCACACAAAGAGACCGAGTCTGACGATGAGCCAAAAGTGCGGCCACACCTGCGCAATCAGCGGGGCGATGCCGGGGTTGTTGGGATGCGCCGGCACGGCGGCAATGGGAGGCTGTCCCTGGGGATGAACCTCCGGCTGCGGCGGCGCCTGGACGGGCTCGGCAGGCTGAGCAGGCTGGTGGTCGTCCTGCTGCGCTTGAGGCGTGGCAAAGGTCGGCCACGCAACGTGCTGGGGTCGGCCTCTCATTCTGGCGAGGGTCGACGCCGTCTGGTGAAAGGTTGAAATCGGCTGGTACGGCATTCTAGTTGTAGGGGTATAGTATGTCTCTGAATTGTTGTTGATAAGAACGGCACGCGGGCCCTGGGGAGAATTCAAAATGTAGACCTCGGGGCCGCTTGGTGCTTGGCGCTGCACAGAGTGTCCGCTGCCGCCGCTGACGGACCGCGCGGTAGGGTCGGGCGTGGCCCGTCTGCTGCTTGCCCTGGAGCCCGGGGGATAGAAGGGGGTGGTGACGCCGACGGAGCCGTTGGCGAGGGACGTTCCCGAAGCGCTCCTCTGCATGGCGTTGGTCATGGCAAGCGTCGCCTGGCCGGCGTCGGCGCCTCGCAAGATGTTCTGGACCTCTGACGCTGACAGCGGCGTCGTGCCGGGCTGCCCGTGAACGTTGAGCGTGCCGCCGAGAAGCGTCTCGTTGACCGTCACGCGGTACGGCTGGCCGTTCGGCATGACGCCCTCCCTGACGTAGGTATGCGTGTCTGGGTTCGCCGGGCTGACCCGACCGCGCGTAGGGTCGGCAGGGTTCGCCGGCGCGTTGGGGTCGCCGATGCCGTGCAGACCGAGAGACGCCCGGAGGGACTGGTTGTGGTTGATTTGCTGGTTCATCTGCTGGTTGGCCATGGCTCTGTTCATGGCCTCTCGCTGCAGCCCGTTCATCCACGCCGCCATGCTCTGGTGCTGCTGTGCCTGCATCTGCTGGATCTGCTGCAGCGACAGGTTCGAGGGTATCTGCGAGGGCGTCGGGAAAGGCAGCGGGTTCGAAGTCGGGGGCATTGGGGTGCGCCTGGTGAAGGCCGCCGCCGTTGGCTGACTGCCATGCGGGTGCGCGTGGCCGGGGTTCACGGGGACGTGGAACTGGGCGATCGGCGGCGCCGGGCTCGAGCCGCGAGCCAGGGCCGGTGTCGGTGTCGAGCGGTGCGTCTCCGCGACGTCTCGGAGAACCAGGTGGATGGTCTGCTGGTCGGTGTTGCGAATCTACTCGGTCAGCATCGCGCACAGCGTCAGCAGGAGCGGGCCAGCTTACGACTTCCTCGCCGATGACGTTCAACAGAGTATCGCCGTCCTGCGACAGGGGCCGTCCCCGATAGATCAATCGCTGCTGGGCGTCGGTCGGCTTCAGAGGCAGGGCCTGGCGGATCTTCTCCTTGACCTGGCGGACGGTCGTCGAGGCTGGGAGGCTTGGGAACACCAGGGGCCGGCCGGAGCTCGCGGCGGTCGACGGTGACAGGACCTGCAGGTTTACGGACAGGTGGTCGGAAGCGGCCTCTGGCGCAGGCTGCGCGGTCGAAGACGAGGCTTCAGACGCCATGTTGACGTCCTATCGGTCATGCCACGCAAAGCGCAGCGCGGCAGCTCGGTCGAAGCGCTGTGATTGTCGGCGGGAGAGGTCCGGTGTGGTTGCGCGCGAGGACACGATTCTCATGTCACCGTGCCGTTGGTACTGGAAATTTAGGACATGTGTTGCCCTCCGACTGCAGACGGCAGGAGGTAGCTCAGGTACAGGACCCGCTGGCCTCACTAGGACGGGGTACGTACCCGGACCCTGGGCGCCGGAAAGCCCGATCCATGCGTGCCTGCCCCAATCGGGGAACGGTGACAGTTGGATTATGTAACGCGGATGAGATGCATCTCACCATGAGGCCCAATCGTTTGCATGTCACTCACGTCGGGGTTTTTGTTGTGAAGCATAAGTCCATTTGATGAAGCTATTCTAAGTGTACTGTGATCCTTGGCTTCATCCTCATTTTTGCTTGACCCTGAATTCATCTTTTTGTCTGCCCCGTCTCATCAACGGCCTCACTTCGAACCCACATGATTCATGACAACTTCCCTCCCTCGCTCGCGTGCTCCCACTCTTTGAGGAGCCAACGCACGCCGTAGCAGTGCTTGACGTGCTCAGCAAAGTCCGTCTTCGCGTATGGCCTGGAGGCTGCGGCTTCCAAGACAATGTGAAAGTACTGGTTCCCTCGCAGCTCCGGTGGTATCAGGTGCTCCGGCACCGGCGGCATCGTGTTGAAACATGCGTTGCTCAGCTCCACGCATCCTTTGCAAAAGTGCCCGTGGTCAGCGCCAGAGCCGGAGACGAAGGGCATCATAACAGCAGCCATGCCCTCAAAAGCGTCCTCGACTCTGTAGGAAAACATCGGCACCGAGTGCTGCAGCTTGTGTGGCAGCCTGCCAAGCAGATTCAGGTCACAGCCGGGCGGTCCCAGCCTGAGGTGATACACGTCCCAGATGAAGTCATCCTCGTCGGTATCCATCGTGAGCATCGGCATCAGCTCAGCCAGCTTCTCCTCAGAGGAGTCGTGGATCCGAAGCGCCAGTTGCTTGAGATGCTTCACGCTGACCAGCCGGAGTGGCTTTGGCCAGGTTTTTGACGTCCAGTATCCATAGTCTCCCGGGAGAGTATGCATGACGGGAATTTCGCTCAATTGCTCATCAGTGAGAGAGAAGCACCTCCGCGCCAGGCTTTCCGTCGTCATCAGGAACGAGCGATTCAGCATCAGGCACGACTCGCAGACCCTCTCGCAGGTAGGCAGATACAGAAAGTCGCCAAACTGGAAGCAGGAGGCGCATTTTTTCGACCTGAGCACACATCGCAGGGACGATGCCGGGTGATGGCGGATGAGATTGGTCTTTGCGAGAGCGACCAAGACGCCCGGCGCGTGCTGCATCATCTCTGCAAAAGCCGGCAGGCCTTCGACGGTGTCCTTGGCTTTCCTCGAGGTGCGGAGAAGACGTGAGAGGGATCGGAAGTCGAGCTGCTCCATGAAGAGAAGCAAGAGCTCTGTGGGGAAGCAGTCGAGCGTTCCGAGGCTTGAGTGACGGGACCCCAAGGGTAATGTCGACGGTCTCGCGGTTGTGCCTCGCTCATCAAATTGGATACAGTGGATTTTCTTGATGTTCTCATGGTGATCGAGCTGTCTGATGGTCTGCTCCGAGAGCGCCAACGGAAGAGCCTCGCAAGCCATTGTAAGAGCGGGTGAAGTGTGAAGGTTGATTGGTGAGTGCGAATGCGGTTGCCGGGTCCTTAAGTTGTCAGTTGGTTTACACACCAATGGATTTATCGAAAAGGTACCCCAGATCTGATCAATCAAGTCTTCGCTCTCATCCGAACGGGATCTTAGACAGCTTTACGATGCGAGTGGCAGCAAAAGGGGCAGAAGAAATTTGTGCCATCTAGATAGATTGATGGCGCAGCACGAACGCTCAGAAAGGAGCCAGACCAGGAAGACGCAGGAAGAGGGACCCTTGCATGCAGCTAAATGATGGACTTTTCAGCTGGCAACAAGACAGCCTCACAAATGCCATTGCCAAGTCAAATTCGCTAGTTTTCTTGATATTTCTTTTTCTCGAGTCCCTCGACAAATAATTCTTCATGTTTTACACTGCCTTACGAGCTGAGGTCTTGGGGACTCATAGTCACGTTCATGCTCAAGTCATAGGTTCGTGAACATTTACCCGTGGGAAGAGGACGAAAACTCAATTGAGTCCATTAATTAACACACAATCTTCAATTGAGCCATTTCGCACTACAGTTCTTTTTTTTTACCACAGGGATATGTCGAATAATTTCATGGTGTTGAAGTTCATTTTATGCACATTTCCCAAAACAGACTAGCGCCTTCACATGGTTCACGCTGCGTCATGCCACAGCTAAAGCTCTACCTGCAAGATCTCAGCAGAAGCCTCGCCGCCCGCCCCAGCGATTTATCGTCCCGCAAACCCGGCAGAGGCTCGCGGTTCGAACCCCCTCGACCTGATTGAGGCTTCCCAACACACGATGGCCACGCTGTACGCGCGACCGAGCCAGCTGCGGGCCAACCTCCTCCACGGGCCCTTCTCCTCGACCCGTTTCTTCTCCCAACACCACCACCGCCCGCGCTTCTCCGACCGCCTGCGGTTCGCCCTCAAAAACTCCAAAGTGCAGTGGTACCAGATCCCCGTGGGGGTCGGCATCGGCTTCCTGGGTCTCGTCCAGTTCTACAAGGTTTCGTCGCGCGACCGAGAGAGCCAGGAGAGGAGCGAGGTCCAGGATGCGCCACCCAAGAAGCGCGCAAAGATCAGGCCAGACGGCCCATGGCAGGTCCAGGTCATGTCGACGCTGCCCCTCAAGGCCATCTCGAGGCTCTGGGGCCGCTTCAACGAGCTGACAATCCCCTACTACCTCCGCGTCCCCGGTTTCAAGCTCTACTCTTGGGTTTTCGGTGTCAAGTGAGTCGAGATTGCCGCCGCGAGAGGACGCTACTAACCCTTCGACAGCTTGAACGAAGTCGCCGAGCCCGACCTCCACGTGTACCCGAACCTCGCCTCCTTCTTCTACCGCACCCTGAAGCCCGGCGCCCGTCCCCTCGACCCGAACCCCCACGCCCTGCTCTCCCCGTCCGACGGCAAGGTCCTGCAGTTTGGCCAGATCCAGGGCGGCGACATTGAGCAGGTCAAGGGCATGACGTACAGCGTCGACGCGCTCCTCGGAAAGAACACCCCCAGCTCCAGCGTTGCCAGCGGATGGACCACGCCCCAGGAGGCCGAGCAGAACGTCTCGTCGGAGGAGGACCTGGTCAAGACGGACGAGGAGTTTGCCCGCGTCAACGGCATCTCCTACACCGTGCCCAGCCTGCTGTCCGGCGCCGCCATGTCCCAGCGGGTCGGCTCCCTCAAGGACGAGGCCGCCGGGCCCCCCTCGCCCTCTGCCGTCTCCGAGGTCCGCGCCGACCTCGCCCTCGGCGAGAAGCCCTGGTACCAGCTGCTGTCCCCCGAGAACAAGACCTCCCTCTACTACGCCGTCATCTACCTCGCCCCCGGGGACTACCACCGCTTCCACTCCCCCACGAACTGGGTCGTCGAGCGCCGCCGCCACTTCGCAGGCGAGCTCTACAGCGTCTCCCCATACCTCCAGCGCACCCTGCCCGGCCTCTTCACCCTCAACGAGCGCGTCGTCCTGCTCGGCCGCTGGCGCTACGGCTTCTTCAGCTACGTCCCCGTCGGCGCCACCAACGTCGGCTCCATCAAGGTCAACTTCGACCGCGAGCTGCGCACCAACAGCCTGACCACCGACACGGCCGCCGACCGCGCCGCCGAGGAGGCCGCCAAGCGCGGCGAGCCGTACCTCGGTTTCGCCGAGGCCACCTACGCGTCCGCGAGCAGGGTCCTCGGCGGCCACGCGCTGCGCAGGGGCGAGGAGATGGGCGGCTTCCAGCTCGGCAGCACGATTGTGCTGGTGTTTGAGGCGCCCACGGAGGGCAAGACGGCAGAGGGCAAGAGCAGCGGCTGGAGGTGGGCCGTTGAAAAGGGCCACACGGTCAAGATGGGCCAGGCGTTGGGATACATTGACGAAGAATAAATGTCCAAAAGGCGGATGTCAACATATATAACGACATGTCAAATGATACAACACAATTGATACAGATCTAAAGGAATGTGTGGCGTCTCGAAGGAATTGGATCCCGGGGGTTGTCAGATGCTTAATTCAGCCACACGGTTTCAATTGGTCGCGCAAAATCGCAGATGCAAGTGTAATCATCCAATGCGTAAATTCATTAATCGCGCTAATCTATAAACCAAGCGGCCGCTTGTGTAACTCCGCCGAATGCTGCTGTATCTTTTACGTGCACCGTCTGTCTATGCACATCTAAGAGCTGAAGGTCTTGAAGATCTCCTCAATGGGCTTGAAGTCCTTGGGGCCGGCGTCGCCGGTCTTGCCGCCAAAGACGAGCTGGGCGTTGAGCTTCCAGCTGGCGGGGACCTTCCACTCGGCGGCGACCTGCTGGTCGACGAGGGGGTTGTAGTGCTGGAGGTTGGCGCCGAGGCCCTCGGCCTCGAGGGCGGTCCAGAGGACGAACTGGAGCATGGCGTCGGACTGGGTGGCCCAGCCGGGGAAGCGGTCGGCGTAGAGCTGGAACTTCTCCTGCATGCCGTTGACGACGTCCTGGTCCTCGAAGAAGAGGACGGAGCCGGCGGCGCCCTTGAACATGGCCATCTTGCCCGCGGTGCCCTCCCACTGGTCGGCGGGGACGATGGCCTTGAGGACGCCGGTGGCGATGTCCCAGAACTTCTCGTGCTCGGCGCCGTGAAGGACGACGACGCGGTTGGACTGGGAGTTGAAGGAGGAGGGCACGTTGGCGAGGGCCGTCTTGACAATCTCGTCGATGCGCTCCTTGGAGATGGGCAGGTCCTTGGAGAGGGGGTAGTAGGTGCGGCGGGCCTTGACGGCGTCGAGGAAGGCGTTGGCGTTGCCGGACATTTTGAAGGTGGTTCGGGTGGTGGAAAAGGGTCTTGAGGTTGTGGTTGTGGTGGTGAAGAGTGGACGAGCGAGTCTGCGAGTTGCTTGGAATGCTGTTCGGCTGATGGAGATCATAATTCTTTCCTATTTTCAAGAAGAGAGGAAGGCCTGCTTGGTTATATACTGCGACCTGAGCTGCTGCTGCCACCTGTTTTCCGGAGCGTCTCAGAAACCATTGGAAACCCCCCACATCGACAGCGCAGCAACCAGCATGAGAGCTCCAAGATGGCGGGGTTCTAACGCATTGGATCCTACCTAGGCAAACTTGGCTCCATCCTCCAGCCGGGCCTTCAGGCGTCCCGATCATCAGACGGGGAACCTTGGACGGAACTGGGACCCCCATCGCGGGACTGCCGCCCATGACTGGCGGCTTTGCATTGCGCTCGGGCGCGCGGTACCGGGAAGCGTGCCTGGGCCTGGAGGCTGGCCGCTGAGCAAATGGTGTGGTAATCAGGGATTCGATTACCAATAGCAGAGCAAGCACGCAAAGCACGCAAAGCACAATCGATAACGTGCTCCTGCCCTGTCAGAGAGTGTCCCTCTGGCGGCGGATCTTTTTCGACAGCAGCAGCGGCGCTGAAGAAGACGATCCCTGTCGGTTCCTGCCGCTTGGCTTGTTTGGGCAAGGCGGCGATGACAAAGCGGGCAGACCGCGGCTGACATCATTCTTTTGGCGGGGTACCTGCTCGTTGCCTCAGAGGTAGCATCTGTATTCTTCAGCTCACCTTACTCGCCATCGGCCGAGTTTCGGTACAGAAACTCTACCGATTCATTCTTGAGTTCTCTGTTCAAACCCGGCTAAAAAGCAAAAGCGGATGGTTAAGCGACGAACAGAAAGAATGGCCCGGCTGGGCGACCGCGCGGGATTGCGAAACCACTGTGCAGTGCGCACCCACGAAAATTCTAGAAGGGTGCCCCGCGGCCCCCAACACCCCTCGCTGGGCGGTGAGGGTACCACCACACCTTCAGTCATCCATCAATCAGCTTCCACGCCTCCAACCTCCCGCCAGATCTCAAGCGCCAATACTGATGGCAGGCCCTACACTACCTTGGCCATGCGCAGCGGCTGCTGCACCACTGTTCTGGATGTCCCGCTGCAATAAGCACCCTAATGAACCCACCCACTGGGAGCTCGTTGCTTGGGCGACCTGACCCTCACGATCATCGAATGATGCCCGCGGCCGCCAGCCTTTCGGGCGGTGTGAACTTGTCGTGCCGCGAAGAATGCCTCCCGTGCTCTCTCCCGCGCGGCTCGGAAACGTCAGAGCGACCCGACGACCGTGCCTGCATTCACAAAGACGAGCCGCATGCTTACATATCTGCAGGTGCCGCCGTCTGTGGGATATGTAATCGTACCGCGCGATTCAATCCTCAGCGCATCGCTTTTCTCGTCAAGCTCCCCTCCGCGCGCGCGCAGTCTCCTTTGGGCAGGGAACGGTGGCGCTCGATGACTGGCAGCTGAATAAGCTCCCGCGCGGGACAATCCACCACACCTGAGCCCAGCGCCCACATCTCGATGGCGCCGGTCGTGCTGTGGCCACGGACCCACAGCTGGCTTCTGTTGGCGGCCTTGGCCGGAATCAGTGATCGGAGAGGGGGCGGATTGGGTTCCGATTCGGAATTATAATCGTTTCCCGCCGGAATTACAATAACGGGACGACGGACTCGGTCCGAGGGCCGTCTGATGTCGAGGCCGGAGCACTCCAGCGGCCGGTCACCAAGGGGGGGCCTTGGACGGAGACACCCCGTCGGTCAACCACGTTGGAAGCCGGCGTCCGGAGTGTGGAATGCCAGCGTGCGCCCCCGGTCTTGGCGCCGGCCATGAGGCTTCACGATCCGGAACACGGCCTGTGGGACGATCAGACGGCCGGTCTTCCGGATGGGCATGATTGGAGTGCGGCCTCGGTGTAGGAGTCGGCGCCGGCACACCTAGGCTAATCCCACCGGCCGGCAGTGCTCACCAATTTCGGTGATGATGCTGAGCCCGACCCAGCGTTATGTCCGCGATGCGTAGGACTAGTGAGAATTCGCCGAAGGCTGCCTCAGCCACGACGGTTGATGAAGCCGTTCCAAGCAAACTCCGAGGCCGGCCAGTCACTCACGTGAATCACGCATGAGATGTACACCAGCGTCGCTTAAGAACCAGTCAATGATACTACATATGTACTCAGCGCTCAGCATTAACGCCTGATCCAACGAATGCTTGCCAGTGGCCCAGGGCCGTCTTAGATGCAACCCACACCCAGTAACCCCGTGTAAAATCCCTGTCTCGCAACAGTACAAGTCTTGCCAAACAAAAATCAACCCACCCGAAACGCCGTCTAGGTGCTTTTCCCCGCGTGGTATGTTAGTCCCCCCATGCTCTCGTATTTTATTTTTCGTCGCCAGGCGCGGCTGGATGCTTTTAACATCTTACGTCCGATGACCGAAGCCGTTCCCCGAAAAAGCCGAGTCCGCGGCACAGCAGTGATCGACCGCGTCAGCAGTCAGGCGCCCCATTCATATACTGCTTGCCCCCCGAGTCACACTCTTCGGGACATGCGGGCACTGCGTCTGCATATAAAGGTTGCGGCCCCGCCTTACCACGTCTCGGCGATGTACTGGCCGGCCTCCTTCTTCAGCTCCCAGTACTTCTTGGCCTCCTCCCGCTCCAGGTTGCCCTTCTGCATGGCCACGTCGACGAGCGCATCCTCGACGCCCTCGCCCATGCCCCTGGAGCTGCCGCAGACAAAGACACGACCGTCGACGGCGTTGGCAATGTACCAGACGAGGTCCGCCTGGTTGCGCACCTCCTCCTGGACGTAGCGGCTCTCACCGCGACGGCTCTGCACGACACGCTTGACCTCGTCTTCGTGCACGCCCCACTCGCCGCTGTAAATCTCGTCGACGAGCGAGTCTCGGATGCCCTGGAGCACCCAGACCTTGTTGGCGCAGTTGGCCGTCTTCAGACGACGCTGCACGAAGCCCCTGAAGGGCGCGATGCCGACACCGGCGCCGATGAGCAGCATGGGACCGTCAGACACGAACTGCTTCGCGAGCGGGTTGGCCATGAGGCCCTTGAACATGGGAATGTACACTTCGGGCGTCTCGCCGGCGGCCTTGGCCTTGAGCCATCTCTGGGCCTGGCGCTCAAAGAAGCCGGAGCCGATACCGGTGCGGAGACCGCGACGCCAGTCAGCAGTCTCATGAACCGTGACGGCAATCTCGATCAGCCGGTGGACCTTGCCGTCGCGCGTCTTATAGGCGTCGTGCGGGTCGTTGGAGAGCGAGTAGAAGCGGGGCATCAGAGGGTTCAGGACCGACAGCAGCAGGTCCAGGGGCGGGTGCGAACTGGGGAATGCGTTCAGGAGCTGGGAGAGGGAGACATGCGGGCCGGTGCGGAAATCGCAAAAGACGCCCTGGCCCTCGGCGGCGCAGAGGTAGGTCAGAAGCTTCTTCTCGTTGGGGTCTGCGGCGTACTCGGCCAAGATGCGGAGGAGCTGCTTGGTCGGGGGATACGACTGGATGTCGGAGCACCAGGTAAGCAGGTCACGGCGGGTCGTGGCCATCTCGCGGGCCTGGTCGTCGCCCCAGACGGTCGGCCAGCGGCCCCGGGTCGTCTTCATGAGCACCGGCTTGTCGCGGATGAAACGGGGAATCATCAGGGCATCAAAGACGTCATCGACGCAGGCCTTGTCGTTGGGAGCCATCACACCGATGGCGCCGCCGACTCTGAAATCCATGTCCTCCTCGCCGGGGTAGCTTGTGATGTCGAGGTCGAAGTGGTAGGTGCGCTTCTCGGCGCCGGGCTTGGTCAGCTCGCGGGTCGAGTCGATGCGGGCGGCGTAGACATGGTAGGGCGGGTGCGGCTGCACGAACTTGGGCGGCTCCCTCGTTGTATCGATGCCGTCGAGGGTAAAGTCCTTGAACTTGCTCTGCAGGGTGGCAAGGTCGTCCTTGGGGGCGTCAGCACCCAGAGAGATTGCCGAGTCTGTTGGCGAGGGCGCGTTGACGGTAGACCTCGGTACTGGCTCGAAGAAGACGGTTTGCTCGGGCATCTCGGCAATGTTGGTAAGGGTCGTAGGGATCTCGCCAATCTTGAGCGCGAGAGACTTGTATGCGTCATTGTCGGGGAAGGTGATGGCCTCGTACTCGACGCCCTCCTTCTTCTTGCCCAGCTTCATGCAGCAGCCGCCACCGCAGCATCTCTGGATCAGCTCGGCGGTGGACTCGCCGGTGATGCGCTGGATGTCTGCAGGGCTCTGAGCAATGAGGCGTGTAGAAGCGCGTCGTCTGCGGGGAGGCTGAGGCTCTTCATCTTGATCCTCTGACTCCTCGGAGTAGGTAAGCGAGGGGGCAGCCGAGGGCGCAGAAGGCTCCTCGGGAATGCAGCCGCTGGTAGAGCCAAGCAATGACGAGGCCATGGCAGTGGTGGCCATTGTGCTGTGCATCGCGAATGTGTTGTGGTGGTGGTTGTTTAAGTGGCGGATGTGATGACCTACGCGACTGTGGTGTGCGACAGGGGGGTTGGAGATTTTCGCGTGGAGGATGGCGTAAAGTGGTCGCGGGTGGTAGTGGTGGTAGGATCGGGGGGCAGATAGTCAGTAGTTATTTAGCATGCTGAGGCAGCGTGGGTGTGTGTATGTGTGTATAGACGTTTTCGTGCAGTGCGTGCGTGCTTGGTGTCTGAAACCGGTGGGTGAATTCTTGATCAGATAAGTCTGATCAGATAAGCGGAAGTCCGTTGTTATATCAGCGAGGGGAAGGGAAAGGAGGAAAAGGTTGATTCAGGCGGGAGGGAAGGAAATAGATGTAAGGTTTTGGAGGCGTGGAGGTCGATGAGGTAAAAACGGAGAGGGCCCGTCTCTGGCCTGGAAAAGAAAATGGCCCTTGAATTTGTCGATCTCGAGCCGAGGACGTCGTAGCTCCTCGTACCCGTACAGTACCAGGTTGATTTTGATTTTTCTTGCCTTTTTGCTACGCAGCTGGTATTTTTTCTTGCAGCGACGAGGAGGCAGAATGCAGGCAATGGGCATCGGCAAGGCGACGGAGGGGGCAGCAAGGAAAAATGACAGTCGAAAAGTCTCCGTTTTTGGGCAGACTGGGGACCCTGGAATGCCCCAGTTAGGCCTAGCCGCCACCGGCGTCGACGAGCGGACGATGGTACTGTGACCCTTGACTGGCCGCAGCCGGACAGTGTCCTGGTCTCTGGAGGGACACTGTCCAACCCCGAGCACCTTCGGGGGCTTCTTTCAGCGTCCACAGCGCTGTGTCGGTAGACTTTTTGGGGCTTCTTGGCGGCGGTGGGAGTGGGCCGCCGGCTACCATGCATCGGGCTGGGCTGGGTTAGTGGGCACTTGAATGACACCAACGACCTGGCATGATGACCAAGGGATTCGCCGAGTTGTCTGATGTATTACACGAGCACAAAAAGCAATACGGCAGACTGAATATGGCCCGCCGCATTCCAGCACAGGCGCCATCGTCAGCATTTGTCTGTGCTGTGTCACAGTTATCAATCGCATCGCATCAGTGCGTGCCTTACCTTTGCTTGGAAAGGTGAAGGTGCGAGGAGCATGAGGGGCGAAGACGATGTGTCCGATGTCGCTTCCATGCCAGTGATAGAGTTGGCTACTGCGTCAAGTTGGGCAGTCATGCTCCTGCTGCTCCTGCTGCTCCGTAGACGACTGCCATATCAGCTGCCGCAGTCACTGTCATCCGTCACTGCCACAAATAACCTAAACCACGGACTATGGCAAGTGCATTGGATCGGTGCTCCTATCTTTTCTCCTTCCACATTCCGATCCGCTCCTTCCACCCCACCTCTCCCCTTTTCAGGGCAACCTACCCGCGCCTCATTGCCCCTTTGCCGGCTGTTCTTGCCCGGGCAGCTCCTGCTCACAGTGCAGAAACCAGCCGGGCGTGCCCTTCCCCCATTCTCGAAAGCCAACCGAGGCGTTCTTGCCCCGAGCCGGCACCCGGGAAGAATTAGAGTCACTGCGAGGTGCCTTCCACACCCACATTTGTTGAGGTGGGCAGTCACTGCTGCTGCACCGCAGTGGACTCGTCCCGCACCGCTGGAAAATGCGACGACTGGCATCTCGCGAAATCCAACATCGGCACCAACACGGTGAACAAGCGTGTGGAGTTCTGCCATCACCAGATGCGCTAGGCTTCACCATGCTGCACTCCGGGTTCGCTGACCATTGAGACGACGCCCATTTCGCCATTCCCCCTCTCAATTACGCTCTCCGCGATGCTCTGCCTGCCATCTGCCGCCGCCATCTCAGTCGTGCAGCCGCTACGCACGATGAGGTGGCCGCATCCATGATCCTCCACCTCATATCTAACGAATACGCCCTAATTCAGCTCCGCCCGAGGAGCAGGAGCACTCCGTCGACGGTCAATGGGACAGGGGAAGAGGAGCTCCGTCTTGCGTCTTCTTTTACCGTCCCCAGCATTATTACGCTATCGCAACGTCGCCGGCATATCAACATGCCCTACGTACCACGCTACGCACTTCCAATCTATACCGTACAGTGTGGCCCAGCACGTTGGATCAGCCACCCCGACGTCGTGTGCTCCCTCGGTTGCAGACGGTACGGTTCGTCCGGGACAGCGGCCCCCCCGACTTTTCCCATGGGCTCAGCCCCGTGTGTCGACGAGGCCACGGCTAATGAAGCAATCTCTCTCCGCGCACCACGCTCGTTCGATGACACGGCACTGACAAAAATAACAGGTCAATATCCTATTCATGCTCCCTCACCGCTCACCGAGCATCAAACGATAAACACAAGCATAACCACTTGCCGGGAAATCTCTTCCACTGTCAGACCACTACCCGTCCCCATTAGCCGTTGAGTCGCCACTGGATTCCGTCACTTTCCACCCCCGATCCAGACCCTGGACACTGTCTCGCACACTGTCTTCCGATGCCAGTCGCGCAGTGGATCTCCGTCTGATGCGTGCCAATTGTTGCGCATCAACCGTCATTCCACGGCCCAGCCCAAGCACCTTCGACGGCAGTGTTGGCGCACCGCTGACGAAAGAAACCCTCGGAATGCGACACTGCACACCCGCGGAAGGATTGGGGAAAATTCGCCGGCTCGCGCAGAACGGCTGCTTGGTACGGCCACCCAGCCCGCGACCGAACCGAGCAATTCCGTCCTCGACCCTCCACGTGCCCTTTGCTGCTCCAGTTCTGCTCCAGCGCCGCTCCGCTCAGCACCCGTATCTCGAAAGTGGACGGCAGCTGCCACTCTTGCAGGCTCGGCTCCGTCGGTGTCCTCCGCCGTCCGCTGCCGTGATAAGCTACCCGCGCGTCACGCATCCACGTCACAATCCCTTCGTTGAGCGCATACGACATCCGCTGCCAACACAAACATCACACGCCAATCGAGTCGCCGCTCCAGACCGAGGATCGCCGCAAACAGGTCCAATTGCCAAACGGAATGCCGACCCTGCCGTCCGATCCCTGTCCGTGACCTTCGTCTAATCACCCTGTCTAGTCAGGTTTGACTTTCTTTTGGTCTCTGGTCAAACACGAAGCCACAATCTTATCGCCCGTTTATCAATCTCATCAAATCAATCGCATCTAATCTGATTTCATCTCCGACACCGGTCACACCGCAACTCCCTGAAGCCACGTCAATCCTCCCAACGCAAACGCCAAACCTGAGATTCTGGGCCTGTCGTGGCCAGGACCCGCTCGTGTCTCCCTACGCCAAGTCACTGTCGCATCCTCATTTCTACGCGTTTGTCGACGCCGGCCTGGGCTAGCTGCTCCACAAGACGGTTCGCGGCCCAGCGACACGGCATGGGCAAGCATGGGTTCGATCTGATAACTTTATTCGCTTGTCTCTCATCAAACTGATTGCCCGATCAACGCCTCGCTACTACGGCCACCCACCCAACCGCTCACCTGATCGGAAAGCAAGTTTCCACCGTAGCCCTGTCTCACGCGCCCAACCACATTTCGCCGGCTCGCAGTCCTGCTTCCCCGGTGCCCCAACTGGGCTTCAGACTTTGGAATAGAATCTTGTTTGCGGTTGCAGTAGGAGCTGAAAATTTTCAAATGACAGAAACTGTCGTCGGGCATATCGCTTCAAGTCGACGTCAGCCGCATACCTCCAATCTACGTTCCCGTGCTCCCAATGCCGGTCTGCAGCGTCGTTGCTTTTCTCGCGCCCAGGTCCGCATTCGAAAGCACCTGCTGTGTAGCCATCCCGTCAAGTTGATCCCAACAATCAGACCCCTGAAATCATCAGGCCTCCCTGTCTGCCCCAGCATCCTCGTCTTCACACGTGAAGCTCCCTCCAGACAGCCCACCGGTCCGTCGATCTCTCACAGTGCAAAGACGTGCCACTTGACTCTCCACACCGATGGGAACGCCGCTGTGAAAAGCACGCGTTCCTGCGTTTCCGGGGACGTTGTCGTAGCTGCCGGTCTATAAAGCCCCCTAGCTCGAACCAAGTCTGGCTTTATTGCGACCGCTGCCCGGTCATTTCGGGTCGCTTCCGGGACCGCTTGTCTGGACTCACACGATGCCAGCCTCCCTCTTCCAGCCACTTGGTTGAAACAGGCTGTCGTCAAGCCCCTGGCTCGCAATCATTTCGACACGTCTGGAGAGCTTCTGGAAGCCGGAGAACCGAGATGACGGTCATCACATTTGTCGATCTGGCCTTTCCATGTACCGCAGGCGTCCTCCGCCCATCGACCGATCAAACTCGGACCGAGCAGCTCGGGATTCGCTATAGGCTCGGCGAAACGATCAGATTACTGCGCTGGCAGTGCTGGTTAGCAGATGTTAGCCCGGCGATGCGTCCGTGGCACGCTGCTGGAAGAAATGTTGCAACTGGCAAACGGATCAGTTCGTTGATGGCTGTAAGTTCAGTTCCAATGCCGCCGGTTGGTTGTATAGCATGGAGAAAGGAGGCATCTTGCGCCGCCCCATCATATGCCGAAGCAACCGCTGTTCGATTCGCCGTGCACCACAGCGCCAATCTGGCTTCGCGTGTGAAAGAAGTTGCATTGATACTTAGCAAGTATCAATGGGTGCTGAGACCAGGAAGCAAAAACAAGCACCCCCTTCGCCATACACTGGCATGGAAGCTCGGGCTTCTTCGTCTACGACCTTCCTCGATTTATTTACTGCCTCGCACTTCCGAAGAAGAGACGGAATTGCGAGTCAACATATGCACGTCGAAAGTCAAGCCTGACTAACGGAACGCAGAGGAAAAAGCAAGTACGTCGAAAATTCTCGGAACAACAGCTGCAGGGTGGCATGATGCTTTTGCGCCATCCAGACCTGCATAGGTCAGTTACATCCCGTTCGTCCAGAGTCAGCAGCACCTGTGTTCATCAAAAGTCGTTGTTGTGTTGATACGGCCGAGCTGCCGACCCGAGCCATTCCGATGAGGGATTCCCGGGCCGCGGCCAAGTCGTCAAGTGG